AGGGACCTTTTGAGAGGGTCTATATCCCCCATAAACCCCCCCAATCAAAACCCCTAAACCCTAAACCCTAAACCCTAAACCCTAAACCCTAAACCCAAAACCCTAAACCCAATCAAAACTTTTAGACAAGCGCAGGTGATCGTTCATGAGGGCGTCATCGAAGTTCACGACCTGACGCGCCCGGGCTTGGTGCGAGGGTTTTGGCTTTAGGGCTCGGGTTCAGTGTGTGAGTCAGGAGCATGGCTGAGTACAGGAGCCCCAATAGCTAGCAGTAGCTTTCCGCTTGATGTAAACAGTAAGTTCCAGTGTGTAACCCCACAAAGTCACCAGTCTAGCCTCTACATTCCATAAGCCCTTTACGCCCTAAACCCTGTTCAGGTTGGGGCTGTGCGATTTTAGGGAGTTCCGTTTTTCGGCAACCTAAACCCTAAACCCTAAACCCTAAACCCCTAAACCCCTAAACCTTAAAAACCGTAAACCCCTAAACCCCTAAACCCTAAACCCTAAACCCCTAAACCCTAAGACCTAAAACCTAAAGAGCCGGTAGGATCTCAGCACCAGCCGCCCCCGACACTCCAAAGCACGAAACCTGACGCCTGAATCCGAGGCCCACTTGAAGCACCAAGACGTGCATTCTTAAGCGGGGTTCATAGGGATTAGGGGTTAGGGGTGTAGGGTTTAGGGCTAGGCATTTGGGTTTAGGGTTTAGGGTTTTGGGGTTTAGGGTTTAGGGTTAGCCCCGCGAAGCATGCAGTGTTTGGGCCAATGATTCAGCCAAAGCCCAAAGCTCTCAACTCACAGAAGCCCAAACCCGAACCCTTGGACACCAGGATCTACAATCCTCCAGGCTACTGGTCGGACTACTTTCTGCCGCTCGCCCAAGCAAGTCGGTGGGCTTTGGGCTTTTGGTGGTTCTTGCTTTTATATAGAGGTCTCAGGAATTAGCCATAATGTCCACTTATGTCTTCCATGCACAGTACCACCAGAAACAGCGCAAACCTAACACGCAAGGTCTCCTTGTCGAACTTGCATAGTAACCCGCATTGTAAACCTTTATGGAGCTCTTGAAAGGAACCCTATTCCAAGTATATCAGTATGGAGGCAGGACGGGAAAGTACTCTGCTTGCAGATGGGCGGCTGTTAGAACCTAACCTTAACACCCCTTGTGCCCTCCCTAAAACACCAAGTAGATAGTAATCCTGCTCTTCCCAGGTTTCGATCTACCACTACCATTACCCTAAACCCAAGTGCATTGGACCTTCGAATTACGACCCGTATGTCGAAATCCCTAAAGAGCCTTATCAAGCCATGAATAGGCATGAAAACAGCCATGTAGCACTTAGATGACCGCTCTTAAGTATGATTTTAAGTTTGAGGCCGTTCCCCAGGCCGCCAAACCTTAGAACCTACACCCTAATTTCGACCAAGTAACCCTAAACCCTAAACCCTAAACCCTAAACCCTAAACTAAACCCTAAATAAAGCCCTATAACTCGTTCGGTAGTTGAAGCTCCAAGCTGCAACAGGCATATTGGCCGCACCTTGGTCGACATCGCCGCTCGGTCTTACTTTGGTGAAAGAAGGTTTAGGGTTTAGGGTTTCTGGTTTAGGGTTTAGGGTTTAGGGGGGGGTTGTAGGTATAGCTCCAAATAAAGCCCGGAACCGCAAACTCTAAACCCTAACTCTCCAACAAAAACCTAGACCGTCGCCATATATAAACCCTACGCCAGCGCCCAAATAAACACATGAAGCCGCAAACCCTTTACCCGGGTTATGGTGGAGTTCTGCAGGGTCCTTTCTTTCGGGTATTTGGTTAACTGGAGCCCTCGGCCCTAGGGTATAGTTGAGATGTCATAAGCCATAAGCCAGAACCCTAAACCCTAAACC